ACTGTTCGGAACAGGTTGAGAGAGATTGAACTGAGAGCCAGAAGACCCCACTTCGGGACCATCGAGCTCAAAGTCTTCGAAATCTAAAATGATCCACTTGGTTGTATAGACATTTCCTTCCTATGAACTGATGTAAAAATTCTATTTGTGGACGAGTTAAACATGTTTGAAAATACAACATTTTCGCAACAGATATCTCGGTTATGTTTTTCCTTTTTTTGAAAAGTAAAGAATACATTGGGGTTCAGTTTTAATGTCTCGGACCAAACGTTTCTTTAGTAGTCGACTCGTCACACGTAGGTATGGTACTGAGCTTATGATGAAGTACGGGGACTTCAGTCCACAATCTGAATTAGAGACCCTGTCTTGACTATCCTCAGAGAATATTCTGCTTATAGTAAAGGAAAAAATTATGAGAATGGATCTCACTCTCTTTAGATGTAGCATGACAATATAACATTTGCATGACTAGGTATAGACCTTATTTTTTGCGGAAGCTGGTATCAACAAATAATACTTATACTTAAATAAATCTCGTAGCTGGTTCCACTTTCAGTAATAATGATGCGTAGAAACGAATTAGCAAAAGTATTGTATTTGGGTTGTGAGAGATTAATGCACAACAATTTGGCCCGAGTGCTCTCCCTTAGCCCAATGGCCACGAAAAGCACGTGCATGTTACGACTTGCGGTGAGCACCGTGGCAAAGAAAATCCGTGACAAAGAAGCAAATTACAATGCACGCTGCCCGTTCCAAAAACCAATAACACTATAGTCCGTTTGACTTCATTTTAGACCGATGAATTGCTCACAAATACAAAATCTAATAATTGCAACAAAACCAAATTTTGCACAGTCTCATGAAATCGACAGACCAACTCTGATGATTTGTCTCATAACTTTGGACACCCGAATAAAACGCTAATTTTTTTGTTGTCACTTTTTGCTATATCTTACGAGGAAGGACCACTTGCTGGTAGAACAGCCAGGCGTGCAAGGTGTAGGTGTGAATTGAAAGTTCACTGCACACGCTTGTTGATTGCCTGGCTCAGATTTGTTATTGTCTTTGACTTTCTTTAAATTTACAAACAAATTTGATTGTAGAACTGCAATACTGGTCTTCGGGTGCGATAGCTTGGTGGTCATAAATAACCTTTTGATCTGACCACCTGTCCCAGCAGCATCTCACTCAGCCTGGAGGTCCCTGGTTAATACATTTATGTTTGATCACGATAAACAGACTGAACCTGTTTGATACATATGTTGTACCCAGGTTAATTGAGTACCTCATTAGAAATTCAAAATGGCGGATTTAGTCCTCAATTAACCTGGTTACAACATACATCAGCTCTGATCTATTTCACCAAGTCGTAACACAGGCTGGCTATGGCCTGAACTCTGAACGAAGATAGGATGGAGAACGGTGAGGGTATTATCAGGTGAAGGTATAAGGACGTAGAAAAACTAGACTGTCACATCAAGTATGGCACCTGCTGTGTATAATTGTTTAGGTGGCCTTGAGTTGGAATCCCAGAATTTCTTTATAATGATTACTGGTCTGTGTGTGTTGTACGTGTCTTCTGGTGTTACACAAAAGTGTGTAATGTTTATGATAGCAGCGTGTGACTTTCCTCCAGATTCTTGTTGACATATCTTGATACGACGTAAGAGGTGAGGTGAAATTGGGTTTTACGTCGTGCTCGAGAATATTTCGCTCATATGACGACGTGCATGCGTGTGTATGTGTATGTGCGGCTGCTTGTACTAGCCCAGACTTAAGCTGGTTTTATAGTGCTAGCCCACTGAGATACCATACCGCAGTGAAGCATGAATACCCCACTCAGACACATTATACTGACCCCGAGCCGACCAGTCCTTGTACCCATTAATGCCGAGCGCCAGGCAGGGACCAACAAGTACCATATTTTAACGTCTTTTGGTATGACGCGGTCGGGGATTGAACCCACGACCTTCCACACTCCGGGCGGACGCTATAACCACTACACCACGGAGGCGGTCGATACGACGTAAGAAGGCTACTTAAAGCTGCCTTATATAATAATAATCAGCCCCTTATATAGCGACCGAATCAGCCCCTTATAAGCCGCACGGGCATGCCCTGAACGCTTACAATTGAGTACTATGGACATTATTAGTCGGATGGCCCAAACTGGGAACTGGATAGTTAATAGTCATATGACTGATCCCACCGGGTACCCCTTTTTTGCTTGGAGAACAGAGGCAATCTTGAAAAACTCTCCCCAAGCTACCTCTAAGGCGCTAGAAAGTTAGGTCATATGACGTATCCTTCCGGGTGCCCATTCACTGCTAGTTGAACAGAGCCAATCTTGAACAAACTCCCCGCAACTGCATCTGAGGCGCTAGAAGGTAAATAGTCATGTGACCTATCCCACCGGGTACCCCTGTTTTGCTGGGTGAACTTAAACAAACTCCCTTACCTAAGGTGAAACCATATGTGTCCCGCCCACGTCGGGACAGGACAGAAGTCCTAGAAACTCTCAGGAGTCTCAGGTCTAGGCTATATGCACAAGACCACACACCATCGCTCACTTAAACCCTGAACCGTTGACTTATTTTCCATCTAGCTGTCCAGTAACTGAGCAATATCAGGTTAGCAATAAAAAATAAAAATAAAATAAACCATTGACATTACCATTAAATATCGTATTTCTTTAATAAACGCATGTAAACATATACATAGCAACGATGGCAATACAAATATATTAAATTCACATCAGGAATACAAAATCTATATTTATCATATGATTGAATATTGACTAAGTAATTATCAAATATAAATAACAGTATTCTTTAAGCGACATGCTAGTCATGCTGTTGGAGAATGCGACGTCCTCATTCAAATATAAATATTAAATGAAGGAAGCAGCTCTCCCAAATACTTCATCCCGTTTATCGCCATTGTCCCTAAAGCAATATGTCATTCTTGAAGTGAAAGTGACCAGGCTCATGACTTATCTGAGCCATGTCTGGCGCCAAGGGCAGCGTGATCTGGAGACGACCACGGCCGTTCTGATAACACAAGTGTCTGGTTTCTGAATCGTCTAAATACCCCAACCTCTATTTGAGGAGTAACTGTCCTTGTATGTTTTGTAAATAAAGAAAGTGTAAGTTCAAAGCAAACTCATGTTTCAGGCTCCCTTTATTGCATGTAATTGTATGGCTTACTGTCTACAATGCGACAATTGGATTCCTTGTGTGGACCAAGAATATGTGATAGACGGACGTAAGAAACGTCATGCTGATCTAATAACTAGACGGTACACAGCCACTTGTGATCACTACAAAGCCTTGTAAATGTGACTGAAGCAAAAACATTACCGTTCCCAGACAGTGGAAATGAGGAACTATTTCAATCTGTTTGTGTCTTGCTGCCAGTTTACACTGAAGCTGTATGGAGTGGACTTTTTTCTTGACTCGAATGCGAGATTTGTCATATGAAGTTTCATTTAGCCTTTCGAAATACCTTTAGTACAGGTAAGGCATATTGTATGCTGAGGGAATGTGTAAGGAATATAAAATCTAAAGGCATATGTCATAGTAGGCTGTTCAAACAAAATTGTCACTGACGATTCATAGATACTGATGTCTCTATGGACATCGAATGATGACAGTGTTGCAGGATAGGCTTGCTTTTGACACCTGGTGTCGCAAACGGAATTGTACAATGATAGTAGTCATATTAACATGGCTTGTCCACAAGAAACATGTAGAGATACTGAAACATGAAGTATAGTCTATTTGCAGTGAAAACGTACCGATGAATTTCACTTTAAACAAAAAAGTAAATCTAATAAAGTGAAAATTAGATTGCGAATCCTCATGATTTTACCTTGCCAATTGAACATTTAAATCTCAGTTTATTCAAATTAGGATAAAAGTTGTTTAACAAACGATCATAGATTCAAATCGTTATTATTGGTTTGTTTTACAAGGGGGTAAGCGCCGTAGTTGGAACAGTGAAACAAATGCACGTGCGGTACGTGAAGAGCGTGAACTTGTAACAACTCTTGCCGTTTTCGGTGTTTCATTTGATGTGCATACCCCCTTGTAATACAAACCAATGATAGTCATGTGAAACTATGATCGTTTATTAAACAACTTTTATCCTAAGTCGAATGAAATTCTGAGATTTAAATGTTCAATTGGCAAGGTAAAATCATGAGGATTCGCAGTCTTAATTTCACTTTATTTGTTTTACTTTTTGGTTTAACGTGACATTCATCGGTACGTTTTCGCTGCAAACAGACTATAGTATTGGTCAATTTGCATCGGAACAAAACTACGAAAATTACACATTACACTTAAACCTACAGAATACATTGTTGTATGTTGTGAAATGCTTCGTAAAGGTCCCAGAATTTGTTACTGTTTTTATCTAGTAGTTTATCTTTCTGTTCTTTAAAATGTTTTGAAAATCGACGTTGACCCGTTTCTGATGAGATAAACATTCTCTTTTTCAATAGTGACACAAATCGAAACGGAAATTGTGAGTTGTAGTCCTGCCCCGCTGTCATCGTTTGCAGGTTGTCAGAATACCATGAGTTAGTATATAGAGAATCTCACCCAAGTGTCTTCTGATATCAATTATATCAACACGAGTTGATAAAGTTACAAATATCCGAGGCTTGCCGAGGATATTTTTACTTTTATCAACGAGTGTTGATATATTTGATATAAGAAGACATGAGGGTGAGATTCTATTTATCATCCAAAATCACTCTTCATTAAATTTCAATGAAAAATGTACATCTCTGAACATGGTACTGCCATTAGACTTGCAGTGCAGCAATGTCATAGCATTGTGACGTCATCAAGTTCATGTCATAGCATTGTCAGGGCATTGTACAAAATCTACTGTCAAAACGAGATATCGTTTGATCTCACACAAGCGATATCTCCTGTGGAACAATTTTGGATGATAAAAAATAATTTTGCACCAGCAATCTGTCAAGTCAGAAGAGAAGGAAAATTTATTTTATTTATTTATATTTCAAATATTATATTTTGACGATTAAAATGGTTACTATCAGCCGCTTACAAGTCATTTGATAAAACTCTTGCTGTTGAATGATGTACAAGAACACCTTAGTACCTTTAACACTGTGCAATGATTAGCATGTGTACAGCCAAGCCAGTCAAACCATAATCTTTCAACATCTCATAAACCTGTGTGTGCTCATTTACTTTTTAAACACGAGAAAAATGCCCCGAACAATCACATGATCATTTACCAAGAACACAAACTATATATATATTAAGATTGGGTTGTTGTTTCAGAATGTCGAAGGCCACGTGACGGTAAGCAGACATCATACATGACTTCGAGACAACCGGACCACGATACATAAGACAGTGATATGTACAGAGAGTGGTGTTTTCTATGACTAGTGATTATTATTTATCTTCTACAGATAAATATGGGCAGTTCGTTTAACTGTTTTAGGGATTTGTAGGCAGATCTCTCCACCCTTTCACAGTTTCTGCCTTCCTCTTTCATTTGGGACAAGATCCAATGTGGCAGATTCGACTGAAGTCACTTCTCACCTGTCTAAGAACCAACTCAATATGAGAGGGTTTAGTTGTAAGCTACACTCAGCACTATTCCAGCTATATGGCGGCGGTCTAACTCAATATGACGTTGAAGCGATTGCACAAATTATGAATTATGAGACAAAGCGTCGTTTTTCACAGTACATTACTTTTGTGTTGACTGAATATGGCTCATAACCCCTCTGTTACACGAAACAGTTTGTCAGCCTAATACCAACAGTCCAAATCAGAATCAAATGACAAAACATTAATGACATATATTCAGGATCCGTTGACGACAACAACCGTTATGTCGCAGGCACGATTCCTCAATATTCCGTTGTTACTATCTCTGCATTTAAATTCAATTGAGCACATGTTCACAAAAGTTTCGCACCCTTGGAAGAAGACTAACAGATCCAACTGAAGCACGTATCGTCGTTACTGGAAGCAAGATGGCTTGGTAATACGTAGACCATTAGCCACCCAAGTCTATGAACAACAGGCAGGATTTTGTTAATGACTTTGACAAACAGGGTACCTCCAAAACAAACAAGGGAGGCTCTTTCTGCAAACACGTCGTGAATAACGTTTTGCTATGTATGCATTCTTTAAACCATCATTCTGATAAACAAAGTTGTTCAATATCTTAAATATCAAAATACACAGACAATACCATAGGTACATATCAGACAATTTCCTTCAAAGGTCTCGTCATTAAGTACCAGCTGGTTAAGGGTCTGACTAAGCGGGCTCCTTTCTGATTATGACTTATCTGGAACCATTGCACACAATCCACGTCATTCATATTTCTGTCAGACATATCTATGTCACGTGCAACGTACAAGCATAGTTCAGTATGAAACTCTACAAAATACTCTCAAGCCATAAGCACTCAAGAAATAAATTGGTCAAGACGATACACTCGATTTTTCTTTCTGAATCTGGATGTTAATTTGGGTCTTAGTGTCTGGCTTTGGGGAAGGGATATCTAATCTACTCATATCAATACAGAAGTCCCCGGGCAGCAGAAACACAGAATCGTTGTCACTTTCCTTCCTGCTGTTGAGAGCCTCCTTCTCTTCAGCTGGTTCCTGTGATGAAGAAGGAGTTTTGGAAACTTCAGCAGTCTCCGACTTCTTCCCAGGTTTGGGACTTCCATCACCAGTGGGCTTCTTTTTGAAGGACCCGGTTGTGATTGATGTAAAGGCAGACATTTTGTCAAACAGCTTCTCTCTCCGTACCTTCTTCCTGAGAAGAACCATCTCCTTGAGGTACGTTCTTAGCTGATTGTCTTGCTTATTTTTACGAATGTGGGACGCGATCATCATGACGATGGACAGACCGTAGATGAGGACGACAGCAACTACGTAGTACAGAGCTCCGATGTCGTCGTAGTCGCGGCTTAGTCGAGGGTCCTCAATAACTCCAACCCAGGAGTTGTTCTCTTGGCTGTGGATGCGGATGTTGAGAAGTCCGCTGTCCAGGGCGGCTCTGTAAAGAGATGGACATTGCAATTAAGTTGCATTAAAGATAGTTTGGTATTTCGATTAATAGAACAAGTCAGGTTGATGTTGGAGGAAAGCGATGCTCAAAAGGATTGCTGACAATCAAAATATCAAAATCAGTTCGAATATATCATGCGTACCCACTATACAAGGATCCTAGCAACTTAGGCGGCAACTCTGTAATGTCACCTTAAACAACTGTACCCGTGAAATCCGGGTTAGAATTGGTCTTCAGCAACCCATGGTTGTCGTAAGGGGCGACTAACGTGATAAGGTGGTCAGGTTCGCTGACTTGGTTGACACATGTCATCGCATCCCACCTGCGTAGACCGATGCCCATGCGAATGATCAGTGGATTGTCTTGTCCAGACACGATTATTTACAGATTATCATATGGCTTGAATATTGCTGAGTGCGGCGTAAAACAACCAACAAACCAACCAACCAACAAACCAACCAAAACATCTGTAACCTATAGTGTGACAGTAGAAAGAGTTAATACATCATTACAACATTGTATATAAACCTGTGTAAAGATGCAATCGTGGTTTAAGTAAACTTATACCAGGACTCGATTGTTTAAACCTGTCATATAATAATTGTAAAACTGTGGAGAGTTTTACGAGGGGTTAACGCACCTGACGAAAGCCAGCAACACTGTAAAATGTGTGTCAGTGTGATATGTACATGCACGGGTATTTACATTAGCACGCTTAAGTGATGTCAAAGATCGTCAACATGCACAGGTTGTAGGGAAAACGATGTTGTACAAAGATGACCGGTTTACAACTTTTTCAAGCGCGAGGCAAAGCGAAAAAAAACTCTCTTTTTTTAATTGAATGTTTCTCCAAAAGACATTTAATGCCACGGAGATCTGCAAAAGAATATTGCAAAGAGTTATCTCCCATGACACTATTTCAGAGCCTGACGATGACATGGCAGTTAAATCGGGGACCGTCTCAAAACATGCAAAGAAAACAAAGCTTGATGAATTCGATAGAAGGGTTGTGAGGTACGTCATGCGTCGGTTACATCAATCCAATGAGTCCATATTGTCAAGCAAACTGAAGAAAATATTGTTCAAAAGAAGACAATGACATCATTGTATCAAAGCATACCATATGCAAGCTGTTGCTCAAATTTGGATATAGATACAAGAGATCAAGCAACCAGTCTTTAAAGACTTCAATGAATCTACTTGTTTAAAATGGATTTATGATGATTATACAGTCCCTGTAGATTTGCTTGCAGGTGTAACAATGTAAACAAGATGCACGCGTGTCACGCCATGTTGTTGGCTGTTCCATCGTATCATTTTACTCCCTTGTATAACTACTTCTATTTTTCATATTTTTATAAGATGGCTTCTTAAGAAGAAGCTTTAATAACTGACATAAAATTATGAAATTTAAACCTTGGATAGGTCATAAGATAAAGAGCGTATGCACAAAAACATTTTGAAGGCATTTTTGGTTAAAAGGTAAATTGTGAAAAACAGGGTGCCAAAAGTTCAGTTGACGGACTATAGTGTACGGCCAAGACAAAATAGTTCGCCGCTTATTTTACATTTTACTTGTTGTTTTGCTCAAATATCTATCGTTTATACATTTTTGTCGTAGTAGTCATGGTATAAGTAAGTTATACGACTCGTATGTGCAGTTTAATCCACGAACTGGTTGGTTATATGGGTACTTTCTCTAGCACCGTCGGTTCAATATTTGCATGACCAAACAAGAAATGACATAACGAACTTCAATGTAAAATTATTAGCAGCTGTCAAACATATCCAAACCTGCAATAGTTTTAAATACACATGGCAGAGGTGTTAATAAAACATAAGTATTTATAGTCTGTTTGCAGTGAAAACGTACCGATGAATTTCACTTGAAACAAAAAAGTAAATCAAATAAACTTAAATTAAGATTGCGAATCCTCGTAATTTTACCTTGCCAATTGAACATTTGAATCTCAGAATTTTATTCATCTTAGGATAAAAGTTATTTAACAAACGATCATAGATTCAAATCGATATTATTGGTTTGTATTACAAGGGGGTAAGCGCAGTAGTTGGAACACTGAAACAAATGCACGTGCGGTACGTGATGAGCGTTAACTTAGACCAACACTACTTGTTCTCGGTGTTTCATTTAATGTGCATACACCCTTGTAATACAAACTAATAATAACGATTTGAAACTAGATGTCTGACATCTTGCGTTTGAGTTATGAGTGACAGTGTTTGACAACCGTGTTATGCACAATGTCACCTGACCATGTCTCCACATGATCGTGCAGCAGTCACTGTATCCAAGTATTCTTAAGTAAACACGATCAAGAGCGCTCTGTGCTGGTTACACACTGTCGCCGTATTACCAGTATCGCTTGAGATTCACACGAGTCACGATTCTAGGATTTCAGACTATATAAAGACACTGCGAGAGACATGATTATACGCGTGAATGTAATGATCTCGTGGCTGATTCATATGTTTCTCATTAGCCAGGCACGGACGTCATGAAGAGCCGTTCGACAACAGAGAGTCCATGCGGCACGAATCTTCTGACATTTTAAGGCATTACTTACGGTACTTATTTGCTGTAGAAAGATTTTAATGTAAAATGGCTGTTTCATGTATCTATATCACATGAGATTTTAGCTACCTCAAATGATTAAACATACCTTTTCGGACAATTAACTAATTGAAATTTAAGACATGATATCATGTTACGTAATTTAATATTCATTTAAATTATTTTTATACTCGAGAGATATACAATATGAAAGCTATTTTCAAATGAAAAAATATTCTATTTGAACTGGATCACAGAGAATCTTATATCCAATCTTATGCTATAAGTGTGAAATTCTAAATTTGGCCGTTGTCTCAAATTTTAATTTGGAGACGTTCGTTTAGAATTTTACTAAAAGCTAAAGTCATTCTACAGACCAACAGCCGTCTGTAATAAAGGTTATTCTCTTGTGTTATACGAATTTCAGTAATTTGTGTTAACAAGAGACTTTACCACGAGGTCCAGCCAACTGGCAATAAAGGAGCTGGAAATAGCACTTGGAAGCCATAAAGAATGGTAATTTTCCTTGAAATTGTTTCGTTTTCAATTTCTATAGATGTATTTCTAGGTAAAATGACTGATGTAATATGAATAAAATCTATTCAGATGAAACAAAGCAAACTAATTTGCCATTGAGACGGGAACACTTTGGTAGAGATTGTCCAGTAGGAAAGCTTTAGGGTTCTAAAAAATGTAAATCAACAGGAGGAGTTCCTTTGAACGAGACTAAATATAGACAGATGACTGTGGGTAACATCTGTATCTAAATAAGGCCAATGAGGACGACTGGAATTGCGCTTGCAGACACACGCTACTTTAAATGACTCTCAATTACCAGTATGTACACTAATTCTTCTTATATATTATTGTTTTGAATAAAAAACACCTACAAAAACTAATGTGAAGATTTTTTTCCACTTGCTGGTGCTCAAAAAATGATTGGAGATTCAGCCTTTTGCACTTTTGATTGGATGTTATTGCAGATGGTTGGTTGTTTATTGTCCATACGTCACCATGGCAACTGGGATAGTGCTGACTCAGCTGAAAACAGCATTCGCGTATCTACTTTCTTTGGTGTCTCGTTTGTAAACATCGAATTCCAAATTCGTTTAAGAATGTATTACCACCGTTAATGTGCCCGGTTCCAAGTACAGGAAATAGTGCTCTGTTATTGGTTGTGATGTTTTCATTTACACATGGCCTTTGGAGAACCGTTGGTACGGTATTACAAGAAGCAAATTTACAATGGTATTTCAATATTCATGAGGATCCTCTGCTATAAGGAGATTCCCTTGTATGAGTTGTGGTGGCTGTACATGTACCCAGACTCTCCACAAAGAGTTGCTTTGTTGTGGTCAGATGACGTGGTCACGACTTCAGGAGACCATATACAAGACATGTGTGTTATTGTAATGAGAACCTCCATAAAGCTGACACTGGGTTATTGTAAAGAGAACCCCCATAAAGCAGACACTGGGTTATTGTAAAGAGAACCCCCATAAAGCAGACACTGGGTTATTGTAAAGAGAACCCCCATAAAGCAGACACTGGTAGGGATGGGGCGTGAAGAACGACACCAAACATATGCTGACACATGTGACATATCAGGGGTTCACAAATCCCATCGCCCGATGCCCGGGACAAGTCAGTTTTCATTTCGGGCAATCAAATAATGGTATCTTACTTGTCCGTGGGCTACTAGATAATTTCCACTTATGGTTTCAAACTGCAAATAAATTTGGATTTAATTTCATATCTGCTCAAACTGTAGCTATTAAATTTCGCAATGATAATAAAGTAGAGTTATCTTTCTTTGCTATTTATCACTTTTCAATAAATAGTCCAGTAAACATTAACATCAAATACCATATTGATTGATTCTTTCATAATTACATCATCATGATTATGTCATAAAATCAGGGCAAGTGGAAAATTAGTCAGGACAAGTTACGTTCTTAAAGTCACTTGCCCTGTGGCAAGTGGCTTTTTAAAAAATGTTGAACCCTGCATATATACTCTAAACGAAAAGTTGGGGAACGATTGTTGATATGATAATAATAAATGCTTTGAGAGTGCATTACCATTGCACTTCCTTATGACTAGTTGTTTGTACGCTCTTGAAAGATGATTGCTGTATGACGTGAAATTTGCATGTGTACGATTTTCATTTTCAAACAAAAAACATCGGCTAAACACTTACAACTGGGTGATGCAAGATGATTATCAAAATTAATGGTCTACAGTGATTTATCGACCTTCTTGAAAACCGTCAAAATCACGAATGACACCCCATGCACGTGTATGGGGCTACTGCGTTTTGCACGTGCATTCCATGCATTGTGTTTAGGGGTTGTGATAAAGAGAAATGGTGGTGCGTTCATAAGATGGCTGTCTTTGAAAAGTTTGTTAACGCTTA